GGAAAACCCTTTGACCTATCTGGATAGCCAATGAAGTGGCAACTCACTGTTTTGGGATCTAACATTGCAATGTTTGGATTAAACATTTTGGTCTCAGTAGGGCACCCCCACATCCTGAAGTGTTGTAGGGAGGGCACTCTTCCTGTCCATAGCTCCTACGGTGTTTTGGCACCGAATTGCTTGGTACTCTATTGAGAATATGAATGGCGGTTTTAAGTGTCTCCATCCATAATCCCAATGACAAGGTGGAATAACTCATCATGCTGCACACCATATCCATAAGTATACAATTGCGCCTTTCAGCTACTCCATTTTGCCGAGGCTCGCCCGACATTGAATAGTGGGCTACTATGCCAGTCTCCTACAAGAACTTTACAAAAGGTCCAGGGACTTGGCCATATGGGGTGTGCCGACCATAGTACTACCCCCCACGGCCGGATCTTACTATCTTTATTCTTTTATCATGCTGTTTTTCAACTTTAGCTTTGAATATCTTAAATTTATCCCACGCTTCAGATCTTTCTTTGATTGGATAAATATAACCATAGCGAGAGTAATCATCTATGAATGTTATGAACGAGTCATATACATCCACACTTTTGAACGAGTCATAGACATTCACACTTTCGCCGAAAATGGTCCACAAATCTCAGTGTGAATGATTTCTAGTGTGCATGTGCTATGGATTACACATTTTAAATTTGTTTTATATATACTTCCTTTTAATGCAATGTATGCATTGTTCTAAGTCTGAGAACTTTAAAGGAGGAAGAATTTCACTTTTGACTAATATTTCTATTCTCCCCTGGAAATATGGCCCAAGTGACAGTGACATATCTTTGATGAGTCATGAGTTCTCTTTCTGTTCTTTTGTTCTTTGTTCGACGCGACATGCTCATTCACATTACACACAGAATGCACTTTTCATGTAGTGGTAATAAATAAAGCTCATCATGTAGTAAAGCATCATCCACATAAGCATTATTAAACCATATGGCACACTTGCCATGTCCAACATAACATTCATAATTATCTTTGTCCAAACAGGAAACGCTAATCAAGTTTCTATGACATGATGGAACATATAAAACATCTCTAAGTAGAAGCTTGAATCTATCAGCTAACTTCAAGGAGATGTCGCCGATGGCTGCAACTTCTGCTTCAGCTCCGTTTGCCACTTTAATGCGTATTTCGCTTTTTTTGCATAGTCCACGTCGAATGAAATCCCTGTAAAGAATTTGCAACATGAACAGTTGCTCCTAAGTCAATCCACCAAGTAGATTTCAAAAACTATGTATACAAGGATTCATTTACAAAGGAAACTATATTGTTACCTCTTTTTGCCATGATTGACTTTAGCCAATCAGAGCAGTCTTTCTTGTAATGCCCGGTCTTCTTACAGTGGAGACATGTGTCTTTGTCCACTAGGAAAGACTTTTGCTGATGCTGAGCTTTCCCATGCGGAGAACCTTTGCTATTTTGCTTGTAATTTTTTTTTCTTGTTATCCTTCACATAGTTGAGTGAACCACCATGTGAGGCTTTGAGTTTGTCCTCTTCTTGGACACGCATTGCTATTGTATTTTCAATGTCTCATGTTCCAGGTGACATATTGTAGTTTACAACAAATGTTTCAAACTCCTTTGGCAGTGAAGCCATGACCAGGTGGACCAGGAGCGCTGGTTTGATCTCCAGATCCGCATCCATGGGCTTGAGCTTTGCTGCCATGTTGCTCATCCTGAGGATGTGCTTTCTTATTCCATGACCACCGCCAGTGTAGTTCTCTGTCACCAGTTGCTTTATCAACTGGGTGGCATATGTCACCAGTTGCTTTATCAACTGGGTGGCATGGCTCGTTTCGTTGTGTTCAATGAACGGGCTCTTTATCTTTGTAAGCAACTCCCTTGCGGAAGTGAACTCTGCAATTGAGCCCACAATGGCGTTCTCAATTGTATTCTTTATAAATGTCATTCACTTTTTGTTTGCATTGACCCACTTTTGGTTTTCGATGGAATATAACATCTCCACAGGAGCATGATCTTTTTTTCTTTTTCTCCCACGCATCATCATCATCAGTGGCCTCTCTTACTGGCTTTGTAGGTCTGACCGGCTGTGCTTCATCCACAACCCAGTTCACCTCAGCACAGACAAATGCCAACTCTACTTTCTTCCTCCACTCAGTGTAGTTGTCACCCCTGAGTGTGGGAACATCTTTTAGGCAATTCATCAAGTGGTAGCCTCCTGAAATCACAATTTAAGTGAGATCATTATAACAATCATATGCATTAATCTAACGTTGGTCAAATTAAACATACAATTGTCGATGCAATTAAATCTATATTACCATATTAAATAAATGCACCTTTAATTTAAATAATAAAACATGACCATGTTATTAACAATGTTGGTCATAAAAATAACATAATCATATTCATTTTAATAATCACTTTAACATGCTCTTAAAACTTAATTCTATCTAAACTTCTATTTTCTTTGTAAAAGAGCACTATTAATTATTTACGCAGTGGAAAAACATGAATAAAAATTCATGAACTTTTTAATCTTTACAAAAACTTTCCTTTACTTTTCTATTTTCTAAAACAAAATTTTCGTTGGAAAAAATTGACATAGAAAAACTATTTGAAATCCACCCAAAATCTGGACAAATAACAACAAAAAACCAAAATGAAAACAACGGCAGCCGGCCTCGACTCAGCCTGGGCCGCCCGCAGCTGCGGCCTCGGGCTAGCTCGCGCGTCAGTGCCCACACTACTGCTGACCTCAGCCTCTTTCGGCCCAAAAAGCCCATGGGCAGCTAGGTTTTTCATCGCAGCCGTCCGATGAGATCGACGGTCCAGCTCGATTTTCGCTGG